TGTTTCTTTGCTTCTTGTTTATTGTCTACGCTGAACAAGAGATTTTGAGGATTGGTGTTTAGATTCTTTGTACCCAAAACCACTAAGTCACAGCTGGCTTCTGTAAGGTTTAATTAGTGAATTGGCTGATGAAATTACTATGATTGTAGTAGTCATTCACAAAAATCTGGATAATTTACACTGTTATTTCATGTATATGGAGGGAGAGAAAGAGAGAAGATCAGATGGTATTTTTGTTTTACTAGGTCTTTATTTTTATTAGTAACCATAACATATTAAATCAGATAGTCTAATGCAATCCTAATACAGTTATCAAAATACTTTGTAGGAATTAAGAAGAAAAAGTCTTATGTGATACCTTACATATCACTAATATGGGGAAAAAAACTACCAAAGTCCTTCATGATTAACCCAAATCCCTAACCCTTCAGTCAATGAGAAAGTAGGTAGAAATAGAATTAGAGTGATATGTGGAAAAAAGGGTAGAATCTTGAGTTGCTTACCAAGCTACATTTATGAATGGGATTTGCTGAAAGATTGTCAGGAAGAGAAGTTATGCCCATCTTCCATAAAGGTTTTGTTAAATTCTCCCAAAGCTTGAAAATAACATTCCATATCATTTGTCTTCCTCATATCATACTATTGAGCTGCAACATAATACATGTTGATTTGTGTGTTTCTGTATTGGAAAATTCATTTTTCTTATGTCATTGAAGACAGATCTTATGCAGTTCTTCTAGAGTTGTGCTCGGTTAGATAAATAAAAATGCAGTATTCCTTGTAAGTTGCATTGTGGAGAGCAGTACATTCTTTCATTTTAACCTTTGGGGAAAGCATGTTCATTTTTAACAGAAGGTAGAGTTCTTTGTGGAATATTGACTGTTATTTTGAGAAGACTAGACACACTCTAGAGAAAATATCAAAGTTATAAATAAATAATGCAAAACATTTGTACTATGAAGCTAAAGAGAAAATCGTAAGGTTGATATGCAATTTGATGAGCATGTCAAAGGATTTATATAGACTGTTAAAGCACTTTTGTATTTGAGGAGCAGTTAATTAAGCAGTGTTTAATTAAAGCTTAAAAGTTTAATTTTGTTGTTGAAGAAATGATGTGTTTAAATATTTAAATATTTAAGCGCATCATTAAACTTTAAATATTGATAGAGATAATAAATACTTTCACTATTTTGATGATTTCAAAAATATAGACTTGGTGGATGGCAACTTGTTTTAATACTCAAAGAGGTAAATTAGTTCAAGGGGAAATGTGTCAAGCAAGTGAGGGGCAACTCTTTAGTGCAGCATTAATGATTACAACTTTGAATAAAGGTTTTTGCCTCAGTATTCTAAGGAATTAGGGTTGATTGTAATTACAATGCAGATAAGCAGTTATGTTAATAATTATATGAATAACACTTTTCAGCTAGTTAGTGTTCCTAAGTCATAGGCTTTAAATAATAATATTCCGATGGTTTCCTCCTTCTATTCCTTTCTGGAAAGGAGATTTTAATCATCTATATCAATATCACTACTTTGTTAACTGGTCCAAAACAGTTCAGAAAAGGATACTGTGCATTTTATTTAACTAAGCAGTATTTTTTTTTTGCTAAATATTCATTAAAAGTCAGGTATTTTGGTTCCCTGAAAAGCTACATTTCAGAACAAATAGACAGCTATAACAGGAAGACAGTTTTTGCAGAGGTTATAAATGATGAAATTAATAAATGAAATTCTCAAACTATTCTTTCATGTGATGCTTTGCTTCCAGTAATTTCACCAACAGCATTCAGATGTCAGGGCAAACCATGATTTATAAAAATAGACCTTTCCTTTTAATCTTTAAACAGATGTCAACTTACAAATCTGTGCTGAACAGATGGAAAAGAAAAACAGGCAAGCAATTCTAAACCCTGGTTTGCCTGTTTTGTGTAATGTAGAAGCTTACATAGTAGTTAGCATTGTTAGCTATACGACAGTCATAAAACATGGTTTAATTAATACCTGAATCTAGCTATTACAGTATTATTCACTGTTTTTGTCCCATGCTTGGGAATTCTCATGAAAAGATGCTGTATTTATTCTGGGCAAATATGCTCTGTTCCCATTTATTTAGTTAGTTTTATGTGGTCACTTACCAAGTGACTTTGAGCAACTAACCAGAGTCTAGCCAGCAAACCAAAAACATTAACAAATATATCAACTTATGCAGCAGAGAGGGATTTAAGAAGCTCTTGCTTTAAGTTACCTTTAGCTATTGCTTGCCATCAATTTCAGGAACTGTACTTTTATACAAAAATGGAGACCCTTTCTTTGGGTTAAGGGTTACACTTATTTTTCAAAATTGTGATAGAGATTGTGTTCCCGTGAGCCAAAATGGAAAAGTAGGTACCAAGATAGACATAGCCAAAATGGGGCAGATAATCATTACCATTATATTAATCACTGTTATTTTTCAGCTTCATTATCTCCCTCATTATTGCCATTATCAATATTATCATCATGATCACCATGAGCCTCACCCCCTCCTATCACTGTACAGTAACAGAGCTGCTAGAAGATATCTGAGTATCAAATACATTGTATTGTCGAAGGCTTTCACGGCCGGCATACAATGGCTGGTGTGGGTCTTCCGGGCATCTTCAGAGTGCAGGAGCACAGACA